CTGCACAGCATGGGCAACTCACAATTTTATTTTATTTTTTTCCATATGAATAGGTCTGTGCATCTTCAGTATGCTACAGAGTTGTTTTGCATAAGAAAATGAGCTGTTATTTTCCACTCAAGCAAAGTATGCCCTTCAGGTGAAGTGTTTTGGTTTCAACAACAATCTGTCAAAATGTTTTATAGCATTCTGGGCTCCTCATATACAATTTTTTTCTAGTACAAAAACACCTACATTAGAAGAGAACTGGAAACAATTCTCAAGAAAATGTGGAACCTTGAGGATTCTTTTAGTAATAGCTAGCAGATTATTTGGCACAGCTTGTGTCCTGGTTGAATACACTGTTATGTATATAGCACCAGACTTCACAGAACTTCATACAAGAAGCCTATGTGCAGCCCAAACATATAGGATCATAATATGACCCTGTTCTTGGAGACAGGTATAGATTGCACCAGTGCAAGAATATGCAAAAGGTAAGCATGCCTCAGAAAGCTCTTGAACCATAATGCCCCATACCATTTTTTTCCTGAGTAGTGCTTTGTGGGTGGCCTGTCCCAAGCCAAGCTGTGCTAGGAAGGAATAACAGAAAACCAATATACCAGTGTTCTTGGTTACTTCTTTTTGTAAATGCCTATTGGATTCTGACTTCTTCAGTGTGCCTGTACCCAAGTAATCTGGGCAAAGTATGTGTATGATGTAGAACTCCTACTGAATCTCCCACAGAGGGACAATCCAGATTTAATCCTTCTCTTCCTTGAGGTAAAACTGGAGTAGTGTTAACTGCAGCACTTTAAACTGAATCTCCAAAGTTGGAAAGAAATGGGAGTTTCTAAAATACAACCAAATTGCATGGTGAGGAAACAACAGTTCAGGGTTGTCCTTATTGTTAGGCTTCAGCTGAATTTTCTGTCCTGTTTGAAAACTGTAGATTGACTTCCAGAGGATTGTATTTCATAGTAGTTAATTTTAGTTACATTTCATAGAGAAGGCAACAGTAGAGGCTAGATTGTAAGTCTTGGCATATAGATAATCTCTTGAAAGGAGACTTATGAGGATGTTACACAAACAGATGCCATTTAGGAAAGGAGAGAGAAAACCTTTGGTATAAAACCAGAGGGAGCTTCACAAGACCAGCCCTAAATGATCAGAGTACAAAAAATGGAAGATGACAAGACACAAGCAAGAAAAAAATTAGGAATGGAAGCAAACTGGTTGATGTATACAGGAAATATATTTTTATCTTTGGCACAGAGCCAAAGAGGAGTTTAAAGGGCATTTGACTGAGGCATTTGACTAAAATGCAAAAAAAGGAGCAGCCTCTAGAACAGACATCTGAGCAAGGTCTAAATATATGAGGATATGAATCACTGAAGAGAGGAAGATGATTTTATGCAATTTTTTTGTCAGTTGAGGTCTTTTGACCATATGTGTGGAAAGGAGAGGGAATTGTATTCAAAGCGTTAGTTGATTAAGGCAGGCTGAGCATCTGGGGACAGAAGAGGAAAATTCTCTGCCTTTTGTGTCACTTGTAAGTTGTAGCATGTAAAGGCATGTCAGAACCATACTACCGATTGCCTGCTTTAGTGGAAGATGGGAATCTTTTTCTTCTAGATTTTTTTATCTTAGATTTCATTCCTCTTGTTCCTTGTCAGTACAAAAACTAATCAAGTTGTCTTTTGCACAATAGCAAATCCCAAAAGACAAAGATACGTGTATTTCCATCTCCCTCAAGCTGAACAAGAACAGCAGATAATAAATCAGTTAAAGCATCTAATTAGACCCAAGTATTGAAGCAGGAGACAAAACCTTTGTGCTATACAAGTCCGCAGATTATTTCCCTCATACTTTGGGTCTGTAGACTTCCATATGTAAAGAGTAAAGTGAAGTGTTTATGTAGGGTAAATTATTGTGTTGGTTAAGAGGAGTATTTTGTTAGCTCTTACTGAATGCTGAAGGGCACATACAAATCTAAGAAGCTGCTATATAAAGAAGCAATAAAAACATGCTCCTGATAGGCTTTGTCTGTGTATTATTTGTCCTAGGTTGGCTAAACAAGAGAATTTCCATAACTATGGCATCAATGCTGACAAAACTAGAGAAGCTCAACTGTGTTCTCTGGCACTACTCTAAGGTGCAGGGCTAGCCCTTAGTCTGATCAATCCTGGAACATTATTGCAGACTTGTACAAAATCTATGCTTAGCTCATCTTCCATAATTACAGCAGAGCACTAAATAGTAGAGCACTCATTTTCTCCCACTAATGAAAAGGATCCTCTTCTAGAAAGAAAAAATTAGTGAGATAATTGTGACATTTTGGTTTATCTTCTTGCCCTTTGCCTTCCTTTTTCTGAATTTATCTTGACTTTCTTTTTGCAGTAGTTCACATAGCATTAGTCTGCTGTACATTCAGCATTGGTTCACAATTATCTTTGCAAAACATACATGTATAAATAGCTACCAGGAATATCTTAGTTGTTTGGGTTTTTGTTTTAATTATAAAATTCATAAGAGGGACTAGCACTGTCATTACCAGAGACTGATGGTTTTGAGGAAGGCCTCTCTGGAGATAAGAAAAATTTTCCATGTGTCTGTGAAATGAAACACAGTCTGCTGACTTATATTTATAAAAGCCTGCTGACTTATATTTATCATTACAGACCCTTTTGACTAACAGCTGGTTTTTTGCTAAGAAGAAAAAGTCTTATTCAAGGTACTGTATTTATAATTTGTAAAAAATGTGGAACACAATGAAATATTGATTTTTTTTATTTATTTATTTATTTTTTTCATTTATTTTATCTGTGGCAAGGAGCAAAGGTATGGATTCTCAGCTGGTATGAAGGAAAAAATTCACACCAGGGGAGAATCTAGCTGCAAATGCATAGGTCTTGTGCCTGTGTTGCAACAGACCCACTGTTAATACTCAGCTGGGTCTGTGTAAAATCTGTTCCCTTTCTCTAACAAAATTAGTAATACAAAATATAGGAACATGCATATTTTAACTAACTCAGAACTCTAACATCCAGACATTGTCAGTGATACTTCCCTAATCAGAAACAGGATTGTTGCTGGCAGAACTGGTTCATGTTTAAGAGACACACAGTCAAAGAGCAAGGATAAGTAATCTATCCAGAAAAATACACTGACTTCGGCAGAAATTGGGTTAAAATGTTGCCTTTCACTGCATTTACTCATTCATGTGACACTTGTGACAATGACAACAGGAGCATAGACTGTATGTAAAAAATGGAGGCTGACAAGCTCCAAAGCAGTATTTGATATTAATAAAAAGAGACTGAAAAACACTGCCAGTGCTACTAAAAACATTTGATTATTCCTGTTTCCCTGTGATCAGGTTCTGATCATTTATGCAGTTAGAAATACCATGTTTTGGGATCAGGGAAGGATAACACAATCATAATTTGGGATCAGGGAAGTGTAATGCAAAACCAGCAAGGATCATACTCCTCATAATTACAGATGTGTTTTCTGTCTATTCCCAGGTTAAAGCAGGAGCTTGGAGACAGTTTCCAGGTCATTATGGCTCAGCAGCATCTTCTGGTGAGTTCAGGTCTCTGTGCACAGTAACACTTTTGATTGAAATGGTAATGATTTTAGCTAGTATTGAACAATAAGTGAAATGAAGTCTTCATGTTTTATTTATCGATGTACTAGTGATAAACTGAATCCTGACAGCTTTTTAAGTAGATAACCTCAGATTTATTGAAAGTTAGTAAAGCAGACACAGAAACCCTCAGATCAAGCAGTTCATACATACCCTGAATTTAGTAATGAACATAAAGTCCCATACTCAGGAACTGCACCTCTTCACTTTGACCCCTTACAGAAAGGAGAAGGAAAGGGAGAATGCTTAAACTCCTTGCAAAGCGACTGAATATACAAGTCACAGTTCCAACTAAACCCTGCAGCCACTTGCTAGACTGAAACAACATTTAAGATTTTAAGAATTGCCCCACGCTTCAAGGTACGTCTGCATCGGTTCTGAAAGGACAGGATAACTGCATGTAATATGAAAAGGATATACATGACTTCAGTAGGAAAGAAATGAAAAAGGAGATTTCTGCTTCTTCCTCTATAAACCTAGTGAGTGGTAGAACTGAAGACTATTCTGAGTCCAAGAGCTGTTAGTTTTCAGATTCTTTTTCAAAATTAAAGGGCATAAAAATTTTAGAACAAAGTTTAGTAACAAAGCTGGTATACCATGAATATTTACAAATAGAAATATTTTTAATATAAATACACACACGTGACCTGATATTTAATGACACACTGTGTTAAAATAGCATTCTTGGGCCATTTGTTGCTGCTCATTGGGTTGCAAAAAATTAGAACACAAGTATTTGATGGCAAAGCTAATCTATACAGTATAACTTAAATACAGAGAACAGATGTGTAATAAGAAAAGAGTACAAAATGTACCCCACAAAAATTAAATAGGTATTCTTATGTTCCTCTTAAAATATGTAATAGCTAGGTTTCAATTATGCAGTGGTTGTAGTTAATATCCATGCAACTTTACATTATACCTAATAATGTTCCTATGTGTTTTGCAGCATGAGAAAATATCACAAATAGTCTGTGTTTAGTGTAGGAAATACTGCAGAAAAATAAACATGTGCAAAGGCTGGGTATATAGATTCTAACAGTGATGAAACTTTCCTAAATAGTACAGGCCCAGGATACACGGTGGATATTATCAAATGGCACTTTATACATCACTTTTATGCAGGAAAATAGAATATTTCCTCCAAATACAATTACTGCACTTGCTTGAGTTTAAAAAAGATACTGTATGAAAACTTTGTGATATATCTTGCCAATATGTTGCTAACTTCTCTCTAGTAAATGAGGTTAATCACCAGCTACAGAATTTTGGCCTGGTGTAAGTGCATGTAACTTTGCTTTCCACTCATCTACACCTGCTAAGGATTTGGATTTTAAAACACATACAAATTGCTGCAGTAGCTAGAACTTGCGAGGGCTGAGTTTCCCTGTTACCAAACAGTAAAGTCTGGTCGTACACCCTGGAAATCATTGACGGTGAATGAGCGTGACCGTCTCCTGAGGGTGGGGCGATTAGGATTTCTCCCCTTCAGCAAATTTAAATACGGGTCAGATCTTAGGAAACGTGGGTAGCTGTCTTGCTCCATCAGCCTGTAGACTGTGTTTTGTGCTGCATCAAAGGTAGTGATGATGGGCTGTTCAATACTCTGACTGGTGACTTCTTTGGTTCGGAAGTCCAAATTCACCTGGAGAATGAGGAGAAAAGACGTGTGTTTCTTTAATGTACATTCATGCATTTCCTTTGTTATTATCCATAGCGATGATACTGTACTTTGGTGAAAGTCTTTTCTGGTAAGAGGACCTTGAGTTCCTGATACAACAGGATATTAGTACTATGGAATTCGTGTGTTCATGTTCAGTAATGACTGTCAGAAAGTCTTCACAGACGTGTCATTGGTACAATGGAAAACTGGTAAAACAGAAGAAAAAGGTTGATGTTTGACTAGAAGAAACTTTCTAATAGTAATCTTTGTCTAATTGCAGCTGTCAGGCTTTGCAACACCAGACTAACACAGAACTCCCTCCATTCTCGTTTAGGATTCATGCAGAATTTTCTCTCTTTAGACTCTGTCAGTGAATATTTGAAATTTCTGTTTCTGTCTAGAGTTCTGGTAGTAGGAAGCTGAGATAACTCTAATAATTTAAATATAAAGATTATTTTAATGTGCTTTAGATAGGAAAAGCATATCAAAGTGGTATTTTTTTCCATGTGTCATTGCATTCATCCTGGAAATATGTAATTAGAATGATAATTTTATTGGTGTCAGGAACCAATCTAAGCATGCTGTTTTGAAAAAAAGGTACAATATATTAAAAGAAAAATAATTGTAGATCTAGTCAAAAAGTGACTTCTGTAATATACTTTTTCTCCTTCACTGAGTTATGCCTGTCATCTCGATAATGCTAATTAAAACAAACAGTTCAGATCTAAGAATGAGGGGCAATTACTGATGATAAAAATGGTCCTCTCACCCAACCTAAGATTTTTATGATTCTATTGAACAGTACGCTCAGAGATTTGTGTGCAAAAGAGCTCTGATGAAGAAGAAGTTGGAGAGAAGATGCAAGTTCCAGAGCTGTGTGGTCTGAAATGAGATGCAGTTGGCTGGCGTCAGCTGCCCAGGAAGGAAGTCTCACCAAAGCCAACTGGTTAAGGTGAACAACAGCACCCATACTACATGGACCAAATCAAACATTACAACAGATAAAGAAATCATTACATTACTGTTAGTCAAAGTATGACTTCTGCACCCTGTTCCCTCCTTAGCTCTCCTCTTGCCCATCTTTTTGCTTGCATCAATCTCATAAGTGTTGGCAACATCTGTGCTTGATGCCCTACCATAACTGCTCATAGACTGGACAATTGAAAATAACAGATTCTACCTTGAACACAAAGACATGCAGCAGGGAAAGAAATAAAAAAGGATGTGAGTTTTTGAAACTCGATGTTTCCCAGGAAAAGGAGATCTGAATCTTAAATGTAATCTATGGGAATTACTGGTGGAAATTGTACCATTTTGCAGTCCTCTTAGAATGAGAATTACACCTTTTTCACCCTTGTTACAGGGAAGTAGCAGTTAGTGTTAAACTTTTGCTATTCTGACCAAACAAAAAAAAAAAAAAAAAAAAAGGAAGGGAAAAGGAGCACTGGCAATTGATATATTTGATCTGCTTAAACCTGGTAGAATTACAGGAAATTTTAAGTCCAAAAGAGCTATTGAGGAAGATGATTGTGATTTCAGTGAGAGTTCATCATCTCCCAACCTGTTCACAGAGCAGGCAAAAAATATTCCTTTTGCTTATTTATGAGTGAAAAAAGCATTTATATACTTCAGTAACATGAAGAAACTGTAAATATGAAAACTTTTTGCACTATTATAGTAATGTAGGAAGATCTTAGTGTTGGTAAGGATTGACATATAAACGTATTTTTGTGTGTATGCTGACAGTAACATACCAAGCATATGCCATTAGAGCTGGAGAGCAGAAAGTAGGGTCGATTCAACCAAGAAAAGTCCATATTTAAAACATAATTATTATTTTAAAGGATATTTTTAATTTGTTTCTTCTAGTCTCTTTTAGTATTTTGGCTTTTTAAAATAAAAGCGTCTGAATCTCAGTTATGTAATAATTCGATAGATAGTTACTGGTTTAAGAGAAAGAGAGAATAATTCTGTTGTTCTGGAGGTAGCTTTAAATAAAGACAGATACTTCTTCACAAATGCTAACTAATATGTCTCATTGCAGCTGTAAGAATGAACATAGCTATTTTTTCTTAAATGTACTGTATATATGTATATACATATATATGTAGATATATCTCCTGGCTTTACAGGCCACTAGGAATCTCTGACTACTATGATATAATATTTAAACTCATGCTCTACACTTGGAAGAGTAACATGGAGGGGGTATTGAAAGGAGCATGGAGGACAGGGAGAATAATCTCTGCAATTACTTCCAGGTTTCCTTCCAGAACTTTGACATTTAAGATACAGCTTTCTTGCGTCAGTGACTCCATGATTAACTGTTGCCCCTGCTTCTGGGCATGCACTTCTTAAAAGCAGATTTCATCAGATGAAGTTCTGTCAAATGCTGTTTACAATGAAGAATGTTTTTACTGTACCTCTTTTGGAGCATCTTTCTGTATGAATGTTTCATAAATGGTCTTAGCTTTTGGCAAAAGTTCTTGTGCAGTTTTGCTTTTCTTGTAATCTTCGCAGGCTATCCAGAACTCGATGTTCTCCTCACTGAACTCCGTTTTCAGAAACTTCGTAAAGGCATCCAATCCAGCTACACAAGGGAATGTTTAATTGCATTTTAAGCACAAAGATCTTGTGAATTTAGAAACAGAAGCAATCAAAACATGTGGATATATATGGAAGTGATGGACTTGATTCTGGCTGAATATCAATTTAGGTTGACCAAAATACTATCTAAATCTTTGCTCATCAGTAGACTGTTCTCCAGTAACAATCTAAAATGAATGGATTTTAGCATCTTTAACATTTGCTTTATCCTGCTGTTATGCCAAAGATACTTTCCCAAGTATATGTAATCTGTGAAAATTATGATACTGTAGTGATGTCAGCTGTTCAAGGAACAGGTCTGAGAAGCACATAGTGTCCAGCACTGTGGCTGGATCACACATGCATCACTCCGAAATGGAAGAAGGTGTATATGCACATTTGATAATTATGTAAGCAACAGGCCCTTCCAAATGATGGTCAACTTTGATCCTATCACTTTTAGAAACAAACTGTATCAGAAGTGACAAAGTTTTTCTTAAGAACATAAAACATAGAACTTGTTTTCATTTTTAAGACTTGGTCTTGCAGTCAGGAATATCTGAGCAATATTAAAATTAAATTCTACTGTTTATTGAAGGAACTCTTTCCTGTTACATTAGTTTGTTCAAATAAAATATGAAACTTTAAAGTTATTTTCAACTATTTTCAGTAGCTGAGCAGAAACATGTGCTGCTGTAAATCACCCATCATACCTGGTTTAGGTAATTGCCAGGTCTGTTTATGTGCACAACTGGATTTTATCATTTTCCACCATTTTCCATCAATTTTCCATCCTAACAGTCTGCACGGAGAGGAAAATTACTAACCTTTCTCAGAAAGCAGTTTGTCAAAAGATTCTCCCCACTTCACTGCTTCTTCAGGAGACACTCTGCTTAAGAAAGAGAAAGTGATTTTGAAGAATTGTGCATATTGTGTATTTATGAAGCTGTTGTATGTTTATTACCACTATTGCTCAGGATTGTTTCCACAAAACCTTTGATTAGATCGCATTACTAAATGAGCTCATTCTCTAGGGACTTCAGAAACATTTGGTTTAATTGTTTTCTGATGTTTTTCTTGCAGAGTTGTACTTTTTAACCCTGTTTAAAAAAAACATGAGAGCACAGATTCTTCTCTTCAGTTTTTGTGTTGCACTACTCATCTTCAAGGATGGTAAAACTCATACAGGAACCAGATCAGTCACCTATTTAAAAAATACTCTTGCAAAGATGTGGTTTTGAATGTACTCAGTCTGAGGCTGTGTTACCACAGAGTATTTCTAATGAAATACAGGAAGTTCTACAGCCTGAAGACAAAGTTGTAGCAATATGGTTTAGGTGATAGTCTTATAGGGCAATAGCATATGTAACCTAGTTTGTTTATCACAAACATATTTCAAGTGTCACGTTACTCTGAGACACTGTGCTCCATCTATAAAGCTCCACATATTCTTCACCAAACGTGTCAAGCTGCATGTATTTTACTTCAATTTTAAACATTCTGCCATAGAGAACAATGCAGAAAGGAAAAAGGAACGGCCTACTTTATTCATGCACACACAATTTTGGAGAAACCCTTTTTTTTGGTTTTGTATGATTAACACTGAATGCACACCACAACCGGGCAGTACTTTGATTTTGAGTAGACCAGAACTGGAGGGAGCCAGGAGACCGACTGTATCATGCTAGGACTAGGAATTCCAAAGTAGGAAGTTCCAAGTCAGAAGGTGAAGTCAGTTTTTATCAGGTGTTTTTATAGATATTTAGAACCACTTTAATTTGAGGGCAAAGCACAGTACGCTAGAAGTATCAGTAGGCAACTTGTTTAGGGTTAGTTGGTTAGAACAAGTTCTTACGGTCTGAACACTTCTTGAATATGAGTTCCCCTCTCCTCATGGAGGCTTGCTCTTTTGTTGCCTGATTCACATAGCTTGGGTGCCCTTGGCAAAATCTGTAGGCACATGAAGTCTAGATGAAAGGAGATTCCAATCACTTTGGGCAGGAATTCAAGCCAGTAATGATCTTGGCTTTGCACAAAGGGTTTGTTTTTTTTTTTTAAATAGTGTCATATTTCCTAGCTGAAGTCGCTGCTTATAGGAATTAAATTTTTAACAAGGGAATTTAAAGAGAAACACTTCTTGAGAATTACAAATACTGGAGAACTGAAATTGAAGAAATGGGCATAGGGCAGTAAAGTAGGGGGATTCTGGAGTCACAGAAAATGAGACCTCACTCCATTACAGAGTTTTCTTTTTGTTCTTGAGAGAAGCACGAAAAGTGCAGTTCTCTGAACTGTGTGGACTTGTAAGTCTGGGGGAGCTGTGGGTTCCTATAGCTACAGAAATTAATTTGGTCATAGTGAAGGATAAACCCTGATGACTTCAGACAACATACGCCATCCACAACTGCCCAGAATGCTGGAGAGGTTCTTTGCTGGCTTTGGAAATTCTTAGTGTGAATTTCTGGTTTTCCTTTGGAAATTCTTAGTGTGAATTTCTGGTTTTCCTTTGGAAATTCTATCAACCCTGTAGCCTCACAGATCCTCAACACCTGGGTGCAGCAATAAGGTGCTGCAATAATAGACAGAAACCAAGATTTGTTCAGATTTGCCACTTTCTAAAGATGAAAAAAACCTAATTAACAGGTCACAGACATTTTCACTATCCAGTTGCAGTGTTTCATTAAATTCTCGATTTGTGTTAGTATCTCTGTGTGAAGAATAGAAATAATCAAAACTAAATAAATCAATAAATCTCAAGCTATTATGTAATTTTATTGTTTGAAAAACAGTAATTTTCTTTTTCCCTTTTTTTTCTCACTTTTGCAGAAAATAATTTACACCTCTCTCTAATCCATATGTGATGAAAGATCAGCAAAAATTTACTGGTTTCAAGAGAACAGTATCCCTGTTAGTCAGGCACCTGGCTGGAAATAACATGGTAAAAGGCAGTTGGCAGAGTGAGGAAGTGACAGTCTCTTAAAAGGGAGAAATTCTTGAGAGTTTTATTTATTGCTACTGTATCTGCCTCTGAAAGTGCCTTTTCACAGCTCATAAGAACGCATTGCTGGCTGTGTACTTTGTATGAAGTACCCAGGGGTAATCAGCCACCTAGCACTGTCTGCATACAGGTGGTGGCATGGAGGCTGTGCTTTCTCTTTTTAGGTGCAATCCCAGCATGGTTTTACACGTCTGGAACCATGAAATGGAAAAAGGATGTTCTCAGCACTGTTTTATGTTTCTTCCTCATTGCAATGTCTTGTATTTCTGAGTGAACTGTAAAATCATTGAATTAAGGCTTCTGCTGTCAACAAAACAGGAAAGAAAGAGAGAAAAAAGCAAGAAAGCAATCAAACTTTCCACCAGTGTGGACTGGAAAGTCTTCCAGATCATGAGCATGCCCTATGATTTGGATGGGCATGATTTTCAGACAAGTGAGCAGCAAACATTGTCTAATCATCCAGATGCATAGGTGCAAATGCCCATTTGTTGGTCACCTTTTCATGGGTGCTAGAAACAGAGTTTGGGCCTTTACACCATTTCTACCATGTGTTCACAATTAGAAAATGCTTGTAGAAGCAGTTCTGGTCAAAGTAGGCATCTCTGTGCCAAAGGCAGTAACTGCTCTAAGCAAGTTTCATCAAGCATAACAAGACAAAAAAGCACAGGAAGCACTGGAGTGTTCTGAAGTCATCTGTGATGGAAAGAAAGGAGTGGCAAATTTTTTAGGCCATCGAGTTGATGTACTTTACACATTCCTTCTTTTCAGTTAAGATATACCAATGCAATAGACCTTGATACCCCACTGAACTCAGAAACTAAACTCTTATTGAAGGAAACAAAACCAAGATTTTACCTTGCATTTTTATGAGAAATAATGTAACAGGGACAATATTACAAGAGTCTTCAAACTTCAGTATCTGAATTTTGGAGACAAGACTGTTCAAACAATTATTGTAATTATTGTGGAACTGCATTCAGATTTGACATGCATCTGGCACTTGTTCATCACAGAATTCTTTGGAAAACCTGCTTTCCAAGGAGCTGTATGGTCTCCCTGTAAGCAGTAATTTGTCAGCTATGTATCTGAGTTGATGCTTGCTCAATACAGTCAGATGACTAATAAAAATGCTGTTGGCATGAATAAAGGTTTAAATATACCTGCAAGTGTATGGGGACCAGTCTGCACTTGGGAAAACACTAGTGGGAGTTACCCTGATGCATACCAGATAATTCTATAGTGTTTGTATGCTTGGGTTAGATTTCTGACTCTTTAATTAAATAGATCTGGAAAGTGTTATTCTCTGCCAAGTCTGAATGCACACACACAGAAGCAGGAAATGTTCTGAGTCACACAGGCACTTCCTGAAAGGAATCCCCCATCGACTGAGTCTTTTATAATGCTTACCTTGCTGCTTTTGTCAAGTTTCCAAGTTTGCCAAGGTGATCACCTTCATGGAATTCAGATTTCTGCAGAAGAAGGCTCAGCCTATTTCTCTTCTGCTTAGCTCTACAACAGAATTAGGGTAATTTTACAAACAATCTTGATGAAAGTTGGGGGGTTTGCCCTCAGATGTTTCCTTTGACTAATATCTCTGCTTCTACGTCATACATCCCCCTGTGTTCATTTATAGTAATGTTGGTGTTACTTCTCTGTATTTTATTCAGATTAATGATTTTTTTTCTTTATAGCTTAGCACAAATTTAAATATGAAGCACTGGCAAAGAGAAATAGTAATATTTTCATCTTCAGTATCTCTTTTAATTATTTTAAAGATGAGGGGGTGAAATTTCATATTAGAGAGTGTAAACAGTTAGCTCAGTGTCTTGTGCTTTTAATGTTTAACAAAGAAAAAGGAAGTAATGCTTCCTGTAATTTGAATTTTTTTAAAATATACTTTCCCCAAATATATTCAAGCTTAAAAGAAGCATTTCTTAGAACTTTCTTGAGTTCTCCCTTTCCTATTGTTTAGTTTTTTATTTGATTTTTTTCTTGTTCTTAAAAAATATTCCTGGAATGAATTAATATTTTATGTATACAACCCCTAGGATTACAGTTCATGAGTTTTCATATATATAAATCAAAAATAAAATTATCTGTGCCCTAAACTCATACCCATGAGCTATGTTAGAAGAATCCTCTATGTAAAACAGAACACTCAGTGTGAGCGTGACTTAATACTTACCCAGGCTTGCTTCCTTTGTGTGGCTCTTCTTTAATGGTTGATTTCATGACTTTGTAATAGGATTTCTCCTTCGATGCTGAAATGTTTAACTGAGGAAATAAAAGAAGTGGGTTCTCCATCTTCCTCTAAAAAAGATGCCCAGTTTCCGAAAATGTTTCTTATACTTCCTTACAGCAGTTGCGCCGGGCGTATCTGCTGCGCCTGGGGGGGGTTCTCACATGCTGTACCGGGCTGGGTTGCCCCTAACTGGCCCTTGCGTGGTTTCCAGAGCAGCTTCTGGGGAGAGGGAGGTTCTCCACCTTCACTGCCGCTGCCGCTGCACGCACCCCAGACTTTAAGTAGAGTTCTGGTTTTACAGTCGTCATTTAGGGAAGTGAGGTTGCAAATTTACAAAATGGCTGCTGGTCCTCCAGACAAACACAGCCATCAGTAGAGAGCAACTCCTGGCTTGTGGGACTTGAGATTTTACTAGACTTAGGATGAAGCCATCATTTTCCTCTAAATGCTTGTGAGAGGTGTACATAGTTTCCCTAAAAGGAACTTTAAAGAGAATAAATTTGCATAAAATAATGTACAACATTGTCTTAAGCTCTTAGAAGAACTTCTAGCTGACCTTAAACTGCCCTCTACAGCCTTAGGTGCCACATGCTGGACACAGAATCAATTCTACCTACAGTATGTTAACTTGAAACTTGGGGTTTCTCAGTCTCATGTAAAAGCCGTAGGAAGGTGCACTTGATCAAATATTTTGTAGATGGAGATTTTAAATTTTGCACCGTTTGTCAGAAATGATGGGCACCTACTTCTAATTTTATTTCTCCACTTAAAGCTCCTCCTTTATCTTTAGATCTGTGGCTTTGTTTTAATTTATGGTCTCTCAGTCAGGATAAAGTCTTTACTTCAACACAAAAATGTATTTATTTACTTATGTATTTATTTATTTTACCAGTAAATAACTTTAAAAATGTCATTCCAGTTTGTATAACATAAAAATGTACTATTGTTTTAGGCTGGTCAGCTCAAATTACCTCTTTACATACAAGCTTTATGTCAATGAAGTTTCTTGTTCCTCATTCTCAAGTACAGTTTGTGTTGGAGATGTCACAGGAACAATACATCTACCAAAGAAACCTCTTCAGTGTTAGCTGAATGAGTGGCTGAAAAATGCTAAAATTACTCTGTAGTTAATCGATTCAGAATTACATAGTCCTCTTTTTTTTTTTTTTTTTTTTTTTTTTTTTAATGCAAATGCCTCATGTTGATTATTCAGATAAGACATCAAGCCCTGGGGAGAAGACATGACCTCATCAGCTTCCCACAATTTTGCACAGTTCTGCACAGTTGCTGCAACATGGGTAAGTTCTGGTGAGAGCCCCCTCACGGCATTTTTCTTGTGACTTCCAGAGCTGAGGAGAACAGGAGGTACAAACGTGGAAAAGAACTAAAAAGAAACCTCTGCTGGGACTCCAAATCCCTGAAACATAACAAAAATGATGTTTTGGTTTTAAAATCAAACTGAATGGGAAACATTCAGTACAAAACTGCCTTTTGCGACCCAAGGACCTGTAAGAAGCAGGGTTATGGCTTTAAACTGCATTTTTGGTTTGAGAGTAGGCTTATATATCACATCCTGCTTATTTTAAATTGGCTTTAACCACAACTATCTTTAATAACAGAATCTGCCTTTTACCTATAAGTAAATATAGAATACATTGTTTCAATTTTCTGCAACAATTATTTACGTTAGCTTTTTTTTTTCACCTATTATGTGTATATAATGCCATCTGTGTTCATTTGCCATAATTTTATGTGCCAGTTATCTCAGCTGCTGAAAAATGTTGCCGATTTGTAGCCTAAATAGTTCATATAATCTGATTTAAGAAAGCTTTGTGGCATGAAACATACCACATTACTTAGAGGTAGAAATGATTCATTAAGTCATCGCTTTAAGCACCACCAGCGATGGGCTCTTTCTTCCCAGTATACATCTGAATGGCTTGTCCAATCCAGTCTTAAATGACTCTAAAGCAATGAGTGTCACTTGTAAGGTGCCTGAAATATTACTGTACTATATTATGACAATAGCATCAGTCCTGAATGCAGCAATGTGCTGTGCCTCTCCCACAAATTTGTTTGGAAACTTGAGGGGATGGCACAAGGAGGAAGGGAATAATTACAATCTTTATTTTTTTTTTCCCCCTACCTTTTTTTTCTTTTTTTTCCCCATTAATAGAAAGCTAATATTAAATCCAGGCCCTGAAGTAACCAAACTGCAGCAAAGTCAGTGTGTTTTGTCAGCAATGGTGCTAATAGGTATTTCTCTTTTGCACTGCAGGCTGCAGTAGTTATAGCAACTGTATTAATGGCCCTGGAAATGCTTCTGGAATGTTTTGCATACTGCAAGGTAATGATAGAGAAAAATGAATAAGTTATTTTATGCCAGAAAAAGCAGACCCAGAATATTATGTTGATGACATGACTAGAGACCTAGAAAGCTCTAAAGAAATTTCAGATGAGAACCAAGTGTCCTGATTCCCAACCATTTCTCTAACCACTGAAATGTGTTTGCAAAACTTTTGGGAAGAAGATGGGTGATTTTTAAGCTCTCAAATCGAGATCATCTCTGCAAAGTGAGGGCAATATTGACAAGTGAGAGCGTTAACAATTTATTACTTGTAGAAAAGAATAAAAACCTTTTTTCAAGAGCTTTCATAATTAGATGAAAAGAATATGTATTTCCACAACAATCTTTGCGACAAAAAATTAAAATTGAATAGATCATAAAGTGCAGAACATTCCGTGAGGTGTTGTCCTGATCTCTTTGGACTTGTTCTGTTGAGAAGTCTCTGCACTGGCTTCTCTTAGTGTTGGATAAGGTCCAATCACAGCTGATGATCGAGTAATGCTTGGCTTGTATAGGCAAGCATTATATAGGCCCACTAGCTGTTCTCTGTAAAAGAAATGTTGAGTGATACCATTGGAGATAAGGATATTGTAGTATACACTGAATGTGCCATATTTCTTTTTTAAAGGCAAGCACTGAAAGACTCAAATTTTTAATTCAGCTGAATAGAAGTGAAGCACTGACTGAGTCATTCAGCTCAACATGAAGGAATAGAGCACGATGAGAAGTTCTCATTTTTGAGTAATCCAGCCACATCTCCTCAAGCTACTTTTGTTACTTGCCAGGTAAGTGTAAACTCTGCAGCCTGCATGTCCACGCTCGTATTCTAGCACTGCCCGGGCTCCTCCACAACCAACCTCTACCATCATTTTTACTGAAATCCAGTTTTCATAGAATCATAGAATCATTT